AGCTGCTCCTCCACACGACCGGGCCAGGAGCAGCAGCTCATCAGCACCCTCCGTCCAACAGTTGGAGCAGTGGATGACTATGTGGTGGCTCCATCGGCGATATCAGCAGGTTTGCAGAGCCAGTCACCTTGACCACGTACCTGGACGCCCTGTAGACACAAACGCAAGTGTTGCAGCGCAGTCCAGCCGCTTGCAGAAACGTCTTGGAGTCTCACTTCAAGGTGCCAAAGCTCAACAAAGAGATCTTCAATGATTACCACAAGCAAGACCCCGTGAACTGGTGACAAGGATTCGCCATCGCCGCAGCGATCCATCAAGTCCGAGAACAACACATGATTGTGACTCTCTACCTCAACACCACTGGTGCCTGCCAAATCTGGCTCAACCATTTTGCAGCCCGGGAGAAGGTCGAAGGCGCCCGAGTTCATACAAATGTGACATAGGCTGCCATGATGGAGGCATGGAAGAAGAGGTTCATCTTCTCAATGCAACAAGGGAACATGCCACGTTGTGATTGGTTGACCAAGTGACAAAACTTCATCGCTCTCCCCAACTTGAACATGCCATTCTCACACTTGAGGCGATAATTTTTCTTCCAGACATGTGAGGGATTGACCCAGGCTCTTGGTTAGAAGAAGGAACTTTTCACCGACTTTGACTCAATCATAACCGAAGATAGGGAGGTGATCAAGACGGACAAGGCCATGACCAATACTCGGTTGTAGCCTCACTACGTGGCAAAGGGCAAGTTCGGCCCACGGCAGCAGCAGGTTGCTGCAATTCAAGTTAACGAACAAACCAGCACCCACAATGCCACACAGCAAAGTGAAGGAGACACAGTTGTGAGGATTGAGCCCTCAACGGGGCCTTGCCGACATACATATGTTCTGGGCATAGGACCCCAGCAAGCCTCGTGCCTGCCCTAAGTGAAGGCGGGCCAGAATATCCACGAGAGACCTTCATTCAGCATATCACAAAGTGGGTATCAGACACTCCGCACGCCAGTTGGTTGGAGTGCATCGTGAGCCTCAGACTCCTGCAAAGGCAGCTGAGCCCAGGGCCTCGGTTGGTTGAGCCCTGGGCGACTGTTACATACTCGTAAAGATGTCTACGAGTATGGGGCAGAACCAAAGATCAACCAATATAGGATGAGCATGTATGCAGCGGAAGTCTGATAAACGGACTGACTCACATAGACTGACTCACACAGATATCACTCCACACACATACAATCGTGAGATGGTGGGGTCTGGGCCACGCATAGACGATGCCCAGACCTCGTACACACATACACAGATGAGAGGTGGGAGGAGAGACGAAGGAGGTGGGAGATATAGGTAGCACCAGATGTCACCGAGATAGAAACCAGTAGGTCACCGATATGGTAATCCAAAATGTCATCGAACAAGATCAAATGTCGCGGACAATAAGTCACCAACGTCGGAGATACAGAGTCCTAATGTAACCGGTGTCCAATCTGTGATGCAGCCGAGTATCATCCCCAACAATCTCCAAGTCTCGAATCCGGTAAGTACCACAGCCTCTTACCACCGAAGTCCAACTCTGATCTCTGTCCAACTATTATAAGTCTCCAGTCTGAAGAAGAAGAAGAAGAAGAAGAAGAAGAAGAAGAAGAAGAAGAAGAAGAAGAAGATGAAGTCTGAAGAGAAGAAGAAGAAGAAGAAGAAGAAGGGAGTCGAGGAGGAGAGAGAGAGAGAGAGGGGACTGGCGACGGGAGGGAGGAGAGAACCCCCTGTCTCCCGATACCTCAGGCGGCTATGGCCGCCGATGTGCCCAGTCACCGCTGCTGCTGCGCTAACGCTGCTGCTGCCGCTGCTCCTCTGGCTCCTGCGCTAGGAATAGCGCCAGCGCTGTCGCGCCGTACCATACCGCACCGCTAGAGTGCCGGTGGGTCGATGCCTCGAAGTGAGGCCGGACCAGTACTAAGTACTGGTTCGAAGACCGCACTCTCTCTCTCTCTCTCTCTCTCTCTCTCTCTCTCTCTCTCTCTCTCTCTCTCT